TCTACTTCTCTTAAAGGTGCTTAGTGGAGAAATCAATAGGAAGAGAAGAAACAAAAGTAACAATAGAAAAATTAAAAAGGAGATGAGTATTATATTTTAAAAAAAAGTAGTATTTAAATACTAACTTGTAAAAATCTAATTTTGCTAAAAAGATATACTTTCCTTTCTCTGGAATTCTTTTCCGCCTTTTCTCTGCCTCCTGGCTTCCCTAGTTTCCAAGTCTCAGTTTCTATAACAATGACTTTGCAAATCCCCCTTAATTCTAGTGCCTTCTGGGATTGTCTCCAATTTATCCTGAATGTGCCTTAGTTGTATATTGTGGGTCAAATGCTGTCTCCCCCATTAGACTGCGACCTCCATGAGGGCAGGGATTATTTTTGCCTTCTTTTTATTTCCAGTGTTTAGCATAGTCCCTGAAGAATAGTAAGTGATTAATAAATTCTCATTAATAAATGCTTAAAAAATAAGATGTTTGGGGCAACTGGGTGGCAAAGTGGATATGCCTTTGGAGTCAGGAGGACAATGAGTTCAAATCCAGTCTCAGACACATGACACTTACTAGCTCTGTGAACCTGGGCAAGTTACTTAAACCCAACTGCCTCACCAAAAAAGCAAAAATAAATAAACAAACAAATAAATGAATAAATAAATAAGATGTTGATATAAAAAAAAATGCATAGAACGTCAAAGCATTAGTAAGCTTATTTTATTCAAAAGAATCCACTACAAAAAGGGCAGCAGTTTCATCCCACAGGTATGGTCTCTTTAAACCACAATATACCATTTTCAAAGAATTGTATTTTATGTCCCAATGTGGAGTCTCAAGGGCATATGGGCATTTCAAATTACCAACCAGAATAGTTTAGTATTATGTTGGTTTATGCCTTCCTACTTGTAACAAAAACAGATGAATAATTTGTCAAATATTAGTATCTATACTATAAATGTGAGCAGTAATTGAAGAAAAAAGTAAACTACTTCAAGCACTTAGGGTAAAATAAAAGCACTGCAAAGACAATGTGCTCTCTAAAGCACTTCTAACATGGAAATACGGTGCAAAACTAATATTAAACACAAAATCAAAAAATTCAACAAAACAGATTTTAGGACTTAGGGGATTTTTTAATGTGGTTTTAGGTTGGGTTTTATTTGTCCAATTATTTTTTATTTATTTGTTTATTGCTGGGTATGGAGGATGGACTGTGATTTCATTGGTGTAGGGAACCCCATTTTTCCAAAGTTTTACTGATTCCTTTTTTTTTAATATCACAATCATTTCTAGATATTTTCCCCAATGAGACTTCCCTTGCAATAAAGAAAAACAATTAAGCAAAACCAACGAACTCAACGTCACATTTGATATTTTATATAAACCTGAGGACAAGAGAACAGAACAGGGTCACCAAGGTTAAAATGATTTTTATAATAATACTAAGGCATTTTGTTTTTAAGGCAATAATACTAAAGCCCTTTTCACACTCATTCTCTCAAGTGAACAGTGGCATTTTTCAGAGGTTACATGATCTGTGAGTTAAGATTTAGCTGCAAGCATTAAGACTGAATTAAAATCCCATTTACAACATTTGTACTTTTGCCTCATAAGTGTACAAATCTATAGATATGGCTATATTCGCCATTTTGCTTGCATTCATCCAGTATTAGCACCAAATAACCATCAAATATCTTTTATGTGAATGCTTGGCAACAAATACAAGTGGTGCTGATACATTCAAAGTGTTGAATAAGTTTTTTGAATCTCATGATTTATTCCGGAATAACTGTGTTAACATTTGTACTGACAGTGCCAAAGCAATGGTGGGTAAAACTGCTGGCAATTTAGCACGATTCAAGACAGTGGCACTAAACTATAGTCATTGTCTTCTTCACTACCACACACTCATAGTAAAAACAAATGTCAATTTCACTTAAGCATATCCTAGAAAAAGCAATAAAAGTTAATTTTATTAAATCTCAACCTTGAGGGGCAGCTAGGTAGTACAGTGGATAGAGCACTGGCCCTGGAGTCAGGAGGACCTGAGTTCAAATATGACCTCAGACCAAACACTTGACACTTACTAGCTGTGTGACCCTGGGCAAGTCACTTAACCCCAATTATCTAAAAAAAAAAAAAAAAATCTCAACCTTGAGTATATATAAGTCTTTTTAAAATTCTGTGTGACAAAATGTGCAGTATGCATAAAGCTGGATACTGAGGAATGGTTGTTTCTAGGAAAAGCTCTCGTGTGATTTTCATGAACCATTTTTTCTTGAAAGAACTGACAAACTATTGTTATTCAGACACGGCAGGCATGTTTTTGAAAATGACTGAAGTATGCCTGTCACTTCAAGGAAAACAACTGACAGTCTTTATTGCCAAAGTTAAAATTTGAGCTTTCAAGCAAAAATTAGAATTTTAGGAAACTTGTATTCCCACCTGGAGTTTGACAGTTTCCCAATACTTAAAAAAAAAAAAACAACTTTTTAATGGTGATAATACCAAATATTTTGGGGGGGAGGGGCCGCTAGGCAATGGGGTTTAGTGACTCGCCCAGGGTCACACAGCTAGTAAGTGTTTTTATGTGTCTGAGGCCAGATTTGAACTCAGGTCCTCCTGAATTCAGGGTGGGTGTTCTATCCACTGCACCACCTAGCTGCCCCCGAATATTTTTTTTATATTGTATAATGAAATGTGTCAAACATTATAAGATCTGCGTAACAGTAAACCAAATGACCAATGCATGATGTTATAAAATCATGCATAAGTAAAAGATCCATTCAGTACAAGACAGACCAATGGATTTTCATTGAACAGAACACACACACAAAGTTCATTGATATGATTCCAGATTCCATATTGCAACTATCCCTTAAGAAACTAGTACCTGTTGAGTGGACAAAGAATCTGAACACAAATTTTCAAAGCAAGAATTGTAAACCATTAACAATCATATAAAAAAATATTCAAAATTACTAATAAAAGAAATACAAATTAAAACTCTCACATTTTACCTCAGCCATCAATTGGAAAAGATGACAAGAGAGAGAAATAGTGTTGGAAGGACTGTAGAAAGAGAAAAATATTAATGAAAACACCACTAAAAGTCACTTGAACTCAAATTAGGCCATTATTAGAAATTCCAGAGGATAAATGATATAATACACTTCCCTTTCTTAACAGTGAATGGCAGAGAGGACTACAGGTGCCTACTGGCAGATTCTGAGGCTATGCTGTTTAAATTTACTCAGCATTTTCTTTGTTACAAGGGAGCATAGAAAAGGGGGAGATTTCGGGAAGTGTCTGTGTCTTAAAAAATAAAAGATATCAATAAAAATAAGTTTCAGGGAGGCAGCAGTAGATTACCCATACGCTGATTTTCCTCCCAAAATTACCTGCTTCCACAGCATGTGTTCTTTTACATTGCCCCTTTCCATATCTCACTGCTATGATCCAATATGTATTGTACACACTCTCTCCCCCAAAAAAAAAGGCTCTAAATAGTAGTACTCGCCTTTTCTTTTCATCCTCAGCAAAGGAAAACTCAAAAGCTCCTGATTATGCATGCCTATGTTTATTAATAGTTTAACATTAATAATACTGCATATTGCAGTATTGTATGTCAGATCTTGTTACTACAAACTTTCAGCAACTGTTCAAATCCTCTTATTATTATGGAACTTTGTCCTAGTCGCCAACTTTTAAAAAAATAAATGGATGATAATTTAGGTGGTTAGAAATATTTTGCTGTATAGAGATTTTCTTACAATTGCATTTGATCTTATAACTAAGAGGCAGTATGGTATTGAAAGCAGGCCTGGGTTCAAGTCCTCAGTCTGACACACAAAGGCTGTGTGACCCTGGCCCAAGTGACAAGCTTCTAGACAACTATCTAAGATTATAAATTACAGAAAAGGTTCTAATCTGCATTGATAAAACGCATCTCCTCACTGGCGGGGCTTCCTACTCAGATGAAAACATAGGTCCAATTTAAACATACACATGCATACACACACACACACACACACACACGAAAACTACTGACAGGATTAGAAAAGATAGCAGTCACCAAGTTTCTTAGTAATCATCTATAAGAAACATATCTCATTATCTACCTTTTTTTTTTTATCTAAGCCTGTTATTTCACCAATGTCAGGAATATCTGGTATAGAAACTGATGCAGATTAGCCAAGTAACTCTAAACTAGAGCACTAAGAGATCAGGTGATTTGATTCCAGTCTCCCAGCAAGTACATGTCAGAAGCAGGACTGAAACTTCTTCAGGCCAGAGCTGACTCAATATCCACTAGGCCATGCTGCCTCTTAGAGGCGAGGTCCTTTGTTTATATAAATAGGATTTTTTTGTCATAGGCCAGAAAACTATGGGGGGAAAAAAACTTTATTTAACAAATATATTCAATTACTTAATAACCTCCCTAGCTTAAGAAAAGTATAAATTTACAACTATGCAGAGATGTCTGTTTTTCTAAATTATAGCAATTTCCATCACTCTAGGAAGCAATGTTATTTACTACCAGCAAAGAAGCCAGAAACAATCAAGAGTTCTAAGGCAGAAAATAGAATGGAAAAGCTGGACAACTATGCACCGCTGAACTATATAATCAATAAGGTGACATCTTCCAACTATAGTGAATCATGAGATCAAACATATTCATAATTAGGAAAACAAATAGTTCAACACCAAATACAAAGAATTTTTTACCTGTGCTATTCTCCAAGCGTGGACAACTCAGAATTGACTCTAATGCTTTTTCAAGCAGATATTTCTCTTTCTTAGATGAAAAGAACTAACGAAAACAAAGGACAGACCACCTTAACAACAAAGCACTACACTGAGTCAAAAAGACAAGCAAATGGGATTAGAACGACACTAGTAAGGCTACATGGAAAATGTTCAAGAGGGAAGAATAAGTATACAAAGTCTCTTGAACGAATGAGCTAAGCTAAAAACTAAAGCATTTGATAAGTACTAAGGTATCACTTACTAGTAAAGCTGAGTGAACAACTGGAGGATTGGGGTGGTCCATAAATAAAATAAGGCCTGGCAGACATCCTTGATCCTGGACAATGGCTCGCCTATTTAGTGGGTCTGCTGCAAGATCCCGAAGCTGGTTAACCACCGACAGTGCATCAGGCTCGTCGTTCGTGGCGGCAGAGCTCATCTTCTATGCCATACGAGGAAATAAAGCCTTTTTTAAAAATTCTGTTGAGAAAAATAATTTAGTTAGCACTACAGAGGAGTGATTTAAATCTCCTAGATTACAACAGAAAACCTAAAAAGTGAATAGCTGAATTAAATTTGTAAGAAAGAAGGAAGGCTGGGCTACCTTGAGAGGCATCTACCCAGGACTCAGGAGGCACAAGTTTCCCTGTGCTCTGCCCTGCTCAGATCACATCTCCAGAGTATTGTACTCAGTTCTGAGAGTCACAGTTTAGCTGATAAATTGGATAGAGTAAAAGGGGGTCAATTAGAATGGTACAAATTCCAAAAGTTCTATCGTACGAAAAGTGGTTGAAGGAATTTGGAATATTGTGGTTAGAAGACAAGATCACAGGATCATAACTTTAAAGGTGGATGGGACCTTGCAGACCATCAAGTCCAACACTCTTATTTCAATTTTCATCAAACATTTGAAGGATTGTTGCATAGTAGAAGGATTAATTGACCTTGACAGGCAGAAGTGGAAGAGAGGGCAGAAGCTGCAAGAAGTAAATCTGGCTTGATAGGGACTGGAACACTGGTATAGTAAAGTAGCATTATCTCCCAGGAAGGAGACCATGTTTCTAGTCTCAGTTCTGCAAACTAATAAACTATGTAAAAATAAATATTTTAAAAAGCACTTAGGGGCAGCTAGGTGGCGCAGCGGATAGAGCTCTGGGCTTGGAGTCAGAAGGACCTGAATTCAAATCCAGTCTCTAACATGTTACACTTACTAGCCATGTGACCCTGGGCAAGTCAGTTAACCCCAATTGCCTCACCAAAAAAAAAAACAACTTACTTTCTCTGCATTTCATCATTTAACCTAACCCCTTTATAATGTAGTTATGTTATTCTAATTAGGAAGTATCTGTTTTGAAGAATGAAATTCAAGTAGGCAGAATATATGTAAAAGTTCTATTCATATCCAAAGTTTAAAAAAGTCAACTTTCTCTCTGTATGTTACTTGAGGTGTTACTTTTCAGTGGATGTTGTCCTTTTTAATGAAAAAGTAATCTGGACCATTTATTTATACTGGAACAAAAAAGAAAAGGTGTTAGAGATCACTTGACCTTGAAACCAATCTTCAAAAAGATTTTAAAACAAGGGCCAAATTTTCAAAGAGCAAGTTCTCAGCTGTACTGAATTTTTGCAAATGTATCCATTCCTGAATCACCATAGTCAAAAAAATCGCAGGTATAATTCTCCCTTTTTAGCTAAACTGGTTCTCAGACAGTAGAAACAATGTCTCTCTGGTTTTCAGCTTTGGTTAGAGTGGACAAAACTTGTGCTAAACCGGCACTACCTTGGAGAACCTAGACTCACCTTCGCACATAGATCAAATATCATTGCTATACTAACTTGTATTGATAAGATCCATGGTATATAAAGTAATAAGATGATATATAGGAATAATAATAATAACAGGTAGTATTTGCATGGTGCTCTAAGGTTTGCAGAATGCTTCACAAATATTGTGTCATTTGATATAAATCTATATATTTCCTCCCAAATGTACACCCACCCACATTTATACAGTATTGATTTCTTATTTACTCTACGTGTCAATGCTGCAGTTTCAAGGATGTCTTAGTGAAACAATCTTGAGCTGGAAGAGACCTACCTGAGAGGCCATCTAGTCCAACTGAAATATGAACATGAAATCTTCTCTACACTATACAAATCAAGAAGTCATTCAGCCTCTGCTGGAGTAACACATTCCCCTTTTAGATAGCCTCAATTGTTAAGTATGTTTTTTTAGAAAAGGCATCACACTAAAAAAAAAAAGTGTAAATAGGGCTCAAAACGGATGATTATTAAATTTTTCCTTTTGGTTCCCTATGTGAGCATGTATTGCTCATTGTGGTATGTGTATTACATATGTACAAGCCCTATGAAAACAGTAGCCTCAGTGCAGAACTGGAGGCATCCCAGCAAGCTAGTGGAAAGCCCCACCTCAGCATACCAGGAGGAGATCCTGAAACCCAGGTGGTAGAGCACGTAAACACCAACACCTGGACCCCCAATACCTCAGTGAAGGCGGGGAAACCGGTGGAAACCAGCTTGGAAAACCATCAGGTGCCTCAGCATTCTACAGCAACTGGCTCTCCCAGTGCCTTAGCAAAACTAAAGGAAGCAGTGCTCCAAAGGGCCCCAGGCAGATAAACATCCTGCAACATCCATCTAAAAGGAGCTAAAGAAAGTGAAAGGAAGGAAAGGCCAGGGTGAGCAGGAAATCTCCAGAAGCCACACTACCCAATCCTACCCCTAGAGTTCCAGTGTTGCTGATTCCAGTCCAACACCAGGTAAGCTGCCAGAACCCTACAGCTTCCAGCTGCCAGCACTGGAGGCCCCAGAACACAAAACCAGTGACCAGGCCCTAGGCTCCCAACACAAAAAGCTTGGGTCAGGGCCCTCTGCTCCCCAGAAGGAGAGTTCAATCTCTTTAAAGGTCAGGAAATAAGCAAACACCATGAGCAAAAAGAAACGTCCAATACATGGGAAGAGTGAAGATTAAAGCAGAAATTCTGAAGATGACAATACTGTCAACAAACCCACATCTAGAACCTCAAAAGGGAATATGAACTGGTCTGAAGCCCAAAAAGTCACCTTAGAAGAGCTCAAGAAGGATTTTAAAAGTCAAATGAGAGAGGTAGAAGAAAAATGGGAAAAGAAATGAGAGGTATGCAAGAGAGAGTCAATAACTTGGAAAAGGAAGGACAAAAATTAACTGTAGAAAACAAGTCCTTAAAAAATGCAATTGGCCAACTGTAAAAAAAAAAAAGTACACTGAAGAAAACAAGTCCCTAAAAAATACAATTGGCCAAATGGAGAAGGAGGTACAAAATCTAATAGAAGAAAACAATTTGTTAAAAATTAGAATTGGGCAAATGGAAGCTAATGACTCTATGAGAGCAAGAATCAGTCAAACAAAAACAAAAGAATGAAAAAATAGATGAAAATGTAAAATACCGCATTGGTAAAACGACTGACCTGGAAAATCCATCCAGGAGAGACAAGTTAAAAATTATTGGTCTACCTGAAAACCATGATGAAAAAAAGAGCCTGGACAGCATCTTTCAAGAAATCAGCAAAGAAAACTGCCCTGAGGTCTTAGAACCAGAAGGTAAAATAGTCTTCGAAAGAATCCACAATCACCTCCTGAAAGAGATCCCAAACTGAAAATGCCAAGGAATATTGTAGCCATATTCCAAAATTAGCAGGTCAAAGAGAAAATATTGCAAGCAGCCAGAAAGAAACAATTTAAATAGCATGGATCCACAGTCAGGATTACACAGGACCTTGCAGCTTCTACATTAAAAGACTGTAGGGCATGGAATACAATATTCCATAAGGCAAAGGAACTTGGATTACAACCAAGGATCAACTACCCAGCAAAAATGGGCAAGATCTTTCAGGGGAGATGGATATTCAACAAAATAGGGGACTTTCAAACCTTCCTGATAAAAAGACCAGAGCTCAACAGAAAATTCGATCTTCAAATACAAGACTCAAGAGAGACATAAAAAAAGTAAACGGGACAGAAAGAAACAATATGTATTAATAAGAGCAAACTGTTTACATCCCTACAAGGGAAGATGACACTTGTAACCCTTGAGAACTATATTGTTATTATGCCATGTTAAAGGGGTATACATAAAGGGGATGGATATAAGTTGACTTTGATGTAATGATAAAAAAAAAATCTAATCAAGTGGGTTAAATGGATGAAAGTAATTAATTAATCTGATCTAACTAAGAAAACGTACTGAGAGAAAAGGAAAGGAGGAGGCAGACAAGGGTACATTAATTTACAGGAAAAGGCACAAAAACCTATTACAGCAGAGGGAAAGAAGGGAGGGAGATTGGCATTGTTTGAACCTTACTCTCATCAGATTTGGTTCAAGAAGGGAATAACAATCAGGTACTAATATTGCTAGACTTAACCCTTCTCAGCAATATAAGGATCTAAGACATCTCCAAAGGCCTCATGATGAAAAATGCTATCCACATCCAAAGAAATAACTATGGAGTTTGAATGCAGATCAAAGCATACTATTTGCTATTTTTTTCCTTCTGTTGTGTTTTGTTTCCTCTTTCTGGTGGTTCTTCCTATTGGTTCTAATTCTTACTTACAACATCACTAATGTGAAAATATGTTTAATAGGAATGTATATGTATAGCCTATATCAGATTGTGTGCTATCTTGGAGAGGAAGGTGGGGATGGAGGGGGAGAAAAATTTAAAACTCAAAAGCTTATGGAAGTGATTGTTGATAAATCAAAATAAATTAATTTAAAAATAAATAAATTTAATTTAATTTAAAAAAAGAAAAAAGGAGCCTCTAGAACACCAATGGCTGGTTTCCAGACAAGTGACCCAATTCAGATCTCTGAGAGCCAGGCACATTATCAGTAACAGGACTTTTTGTATGCTATTAGACCGTGGTTCCTCATTAATGCTTTTCCACCTAAGGGAAACCCTTGGGGAAAAAAATTTTCATAGGGTTTTATGCTATTCCCTCCCAAAATGCTCTTAAACCACAGCTACTGGCTTTTCCCACCCCAAGCCTGAGAAACAATATGTAGTTAGGCTTCAGAACACTCAAATACCCGAAGCAGATACCCACTGCTCAAACACATATTGGAGGTCTTCTCTGGGCTATGTGCTTAGCTTTGGGCAGAATAAAAAGAGTAGTAAGTTCCAAGGGGGTTGTGAGACAGAGGTCAGGCACTGAACTTATCTAGTATTTCAAAGGCCAACAATCCTGGCATGCATTTTCATTTTTCTTGAAATCAGACAGAAGACAGGAGGAGACTTCTAAAGCAGCTTTAACACAAAATAAAATGAAATGATACCTTTCTTCAAAAGTTAGAGACAAAACTGAATATTCTAACAGATGAAAATATGCAATTTCAACACAGTTCCTTTTGTACATAATAACTTACTCTGCTACCCTTATAACGAATCAGGCTCAGATGAGGAAAAACCTCAGCGATAGATCC